GTTCTGTTTTTCTGGAAAACCCTTACTATATGCTTCTCTATAGTTATGTTATACCTCTTAACCTAATCTGGTCGTAAGACCCCCTTGAGATTCTGATGAAAACTATAAAATGCACCTATGAATATTACACTAAATTGACTGCACTGTTTCAGCAAGCCCCCTGAAATCCACTCAAGATCCAGAGATGCACCCAAGGTCTTTTGCTGCATCCACCTGGTACAAATAAAAAAACACTTTATTCACTCTTCTCTATTAAGCCATGCTTATTTTTCTTCCAAAATTAATAGATACTGTAAGATCTTTCTTAAACAAAGAAAGTTACATTAAAAATGGCATTTAAACCAATCTGTTTTAAATTTCTTTAAAAAAATTGAGCACAGCAGTCATTTATTGGAAAAGAAAAAAACAGAAAACTAAAAAATTACTACATTTTAAAAAGCAAAAAATGAAATTACACATTCTAAAATCACGATAAAAATATCACTATTCAAAGAATTGAACTAGATCACTGATCTAATATTTAGGCACACTTTGATTCTTATTAAGCCATATAATCTTTAAAGAAAGAACAAAGTCACATTTATAATGAATTACCCTTCCACTGTATTAAATTAGCCCAATTATCCTCTTTTAGAAACCACAAGACACACAAAAAGGACTGCAAAATGGGAAGTATGATACCCTTATGTAACCAATAGTTTTTTAAAGCTGTTTCCAACAATCTCAACTTAGTACAAAACTTTCTGCTTGTCTTTAATATTGTTAATGTTTTGCTACTCTATAGTTCCTAAAATATACTCAGTATGATTTAACTGTGCTAAAATATATTCTTGAAATGTAATAAATAAAATGTTGCAAGACTTTTGTAAAGTGAATTCTCTTTTCATTTACTTTCTCTATATTATCAAACTTTCAGAGATGTGTTTCACCTTATAGTTGATCACTGAAGGGGCCCAAAAGACTCTAAGTAGGTATGGCTTTGACACTTCTGTTAGCTGGCTGCCTAACAAAGAATAGAGAAGTAGCTCAAGTGTGTCAGGTATCTCAGAGACCCATATAGTAGGGAATTTTTCTTTTTAAAATAGAAATGTATTCATTGAATGCACAGAGAAAGTTTATGAACTAATATATCTTCAGCCAGTGTTAATTTTATATATATATATATAAAATATTTATAAAGCAAAAAGTATTGACCAAAAATTCGGAGATGTTCTACATTAAATTACAGTGGGCTGGGAGTAAGAGAAAGAGACAAGAGTATTTAACCCGTTAACAGCTGTGGGCCTACTAAGAGACTGCTTACATTCCTGCTGTGTGCTAGAGCTTTGAATCAACTCCTGTAATGACCGCCAGATGTCCTAGCGTCCTGCTTATGCATGAACTTTCAGGACTGTTTCCCATGACCAATCAAAAGTAGCGAATACCACTGTCTCACTGATGGTGCAACTATCCTAGAACTGCCCCCCCCCACTTCTTCCCACCCCTTTATCTGCAGTCAATGTAAGTTCTTTCAAAACAACTTACATCTTTCTTCCCTAACACATAAAGCCATCTGTCAGCTCCTGGATGGAGGACGTGTTTGTGTTTTCTGCCTAGCCATGCTGCTGGTGGCTTAGACTTCCTACCACAGGACCTGGTCCCTTTCTGGATAGCGTTTTTGACTCAATAAACCTTTTCTTTCAGAAAAGATTTCGGCCATGAAAGTTTTTTTTTGTTTAACTCCATGTACCCAAAATATCCTGGCCTCTAGGACAAACATAAAAATTCTTACTACAGGATATCTCTGACGTGTTACAGGAATATTATCTAGTACTCCATACATACTCTAATAGTAAATTAAGGCATGTAAACAAATAAGCTCTTGAAATAATTTCTAATACTGAAGCCACACAGTTTGCCCCAGAAAAATTATGTTCCTAGTAGTAGTAGTTACCACAATTTACCAGAGAAATAATGATACAAAGTTATAAGGAATAGCAAAGCAGGTGAAAGATGCCCTTTGCAATTCATCATTTCAGCTAATATGCTGCACCCAAGTTTCTAAATTATTTGTAAAGAACCTATTTTCTTTTCAAAATAAAATAGGATTTTGACTAATGATAAAAGAGTAAGATGTGCAGAGAATTAAAGATCCAATCAAATTTTTATATATTACTATTTTATGTTACCTATAAGAAAAGAATATGAATACTATACCTTCTTCTTATACCACTGAAGTTTAACCAGATATTATAAATTAATGTCAAATAGCATTTCTCACCCAATACAACCAATGTAAAAGCTATTACCTTCAGGCATAACTTTCCAACATGTCTCCAAGTCCCTCATCCTTTCTACTGGGTCTTTCTGACTCAGATCTGTGTCCTGCTCCTGTATCTCTGCTCTTGATCTTGCCTGAATAAACAAGCTCTTTTCTCAAGGTCCAACTCATGTGCTATGTTCTCTACACAGCTTTTTAAAAAACATCTGAATTGACTGATTTCTCTTTTTTCTGCTTAATTGATGAGCACATAAAATGTAAATTATTTGTAAGACAAAATATCCTTTTAAAATGTTAAGGGTAAGGCACATTTCCAGAGTATATACTATGCAACTGGAGGCACTGTGCCATTCAGTGTGCCCAGCATCCTTGCAAAATTGGTACTGTTATTATAGTTATGTAGATGAGGAAATCAAATTCCAAAGAGGCTAATTTTCCCAAAGATACATGTCTAGCAAGTGGTAAAAAGCCTAAATTCAAACCCAGTGCCATTTGGATCCAAATCTTACGGCAAAGTATTCATAAAATAGTGTCCTAGTCCAGTGAATCAACTCTTACTGACAAGAAAGCTTAATGCACCATGCAAAATGCCTAAATTTACTTACTATTTCAGAGGAAATTTTCTTTTAGACTTTTTAATCAACAGTATGACTGACTGACTAGATACAATGCTGTTCATGAAAATTTACTGTAAGAGTTCTAGAATACTCTTACCAATTAAATAATACATAAAAATTACAATGCCTTCAACATGCATTTTATTTTTGAAAATATTTTAGAATAGTAGGATAAACAGAAATTAAGAACCTACTGTTTAATACTGATAGACTTACATGGGTAATACTGTACTTTTTCATTTTTGATTCCTCATGTTAATGAATGATTGTATAGATAACTCAAAAATAATGAGAAATGGTTTTATAGTCTTAAAGAAAATTCTATTTTACTTATTTCAAAAATGATTTAAAACAACTTACAATTAACAGTCATTAAGGCACTCTAAGAAAGTAATAAAACCACACAGATCAATTTCTCCAAAACTTTGATTTACTTGAAAAGTTTTGCTAAACTAAAAGACTCATAAAGTTATAAACATGAAAAATATGACATTTCAATTACGAATATATCAGGTGATACCGAGGCTTAGTAAAATTTGCTGTCATTAATCCTAAGGCCATTTGCCTTAAAATATTAATAAAATATTATGTGTTTGCATGATAGTGAAACATTTTGTGTGCAAGTATAATTCTAGAGGTAATTTTTATTCCATTCTTCTTTGCACAATTTAGACCATATTGTCTTCAGAGAAAATATCAAGTCCCTTTTTCATTAAAAGAAAAACTTAACAAAAATGTGAGAGATTTAAAGTCATTTCAGACTTTTCTGTCTCATCATTTCCTTAAACTTTCAATAAACAAGGAGTTTGTGAATCACTACACAAATCGTTTCTAGAAATGACCAAACTCATTAAAACTCTATTAGGTGACAAAACTACTCATTCACACACCCTAAGATGACTCCTTCCAACTTCTAATTATGCCACATAGTTATCTTTCTTTCAACATTATTGCTCTTGATAATATAAATTTCTGTAGATAGCATATCTATACCTAAAGGCATAAATATGAAAAAGTCAAATTAAAAGTAATATACATTAATTTTCATTCAGCACTGATAAAGAGATTAATTTAATAACTTTCTAATTTCTTCTTAAATCTCAGACTCACAATCCAAGAGTTGTTTGACACTATTAAAGACTAATATATTCTATATCTCTTCTTCTGGAAAAATGTGCTAAAAGACAATGAAATTATAAGCATGAATTGAGTATAATCCTAGATTTAGAAATAAAATATTTATGGATATTGACAGATACACCTCATATCAGTTGATTTAAAAGCCCCCAAGTATTTCCACTAAAATTAATTTAGGATGCATACCAAGGAACTTCTGAGTTCCCTTGTCACTTTATCACAACCTTCTTTGAATGGTAAGTTACGTTTTCTTTCCTTATCTCAAACCCATATGATAGTTTGGGGAAAATATCATCGCAGTTTTCATTTTACACATAATCAAACCAGGAATTAGTTAATTAACTTGCTTAATTAAGAAAATTAGTAGTAATTAATGCATGTATTAAAACATACCATGTTACCTCCAAGTATGTCACATTTAATAGAGCAAATTCAGAGAATTCTTCCAAATACAGCAATCAACAGCATCATTTTTTAAGATGCTTAAAAGGTTTACTGAAAGCCATGAGGAAAAACCTCTTCATGAATCAGTTTTTGTCTTTGTTTCTTAAACAAACCACTTAGTTCAATATTTTTATATATAAAGTCACACTGATTTCCCTGATGAATGTAACAGACTAATATCTATTATCTCATGAAAGTATTTTTATAGAAAGGCAAAAATAATAAAACACCTTGTTTTCATTACGACTATCATTATAACCTCGTGCAAATTTACTAACTTACTGGTTTGATTTAACACAAAGGCCCATAATTGCAAGAAGAGGATGATTTTATTCTTTTTCTTACCAAAGAAAATACTGTATTTTTTGTTTGATTTTTTTTTAAGTGATGTGGTGCTCACAAGAATGAATGTAGGCCTTGTAAAGGAAACATAGGGCTTTAGAAACTAAGGTAAGAAATTTCAGGATGAAAACACTCTATGGTGACACCCTTTCCTGAAGGCAGCGATTGTAATAAAGATAATAGTATTTCATCACATTCACCTGTCTCTGTCTGGGGAATAACGGTCATCCGTCACACGATGTCTATCCATTCGGCTAATTGTATTATAGTGTCCAGCAGTAGAGCGTGTCCCTCGAAGTCCCTGTTCCACATTCCGACTGAAATAGCAAGATCCATTAAATATCTTAAAACCATAATCATATACTATACTAACAAACGAGGTTTATTAATAAAGACAGTAGAAAAAGACAAAAATTACTATAATGTCAAATCCAAGTTTTTTGTTTTGTTTTAACTAATTAATTGTACCTCTGGCTAATGGAATAAATATCCACTGGAGGTTGACAGTGAAGTTAGGAGGTTAGTTCTAGAACAGAGATGTGACATAAAATTAAGATAATAGCAATAAGGATAGAGATAAAGATTATCGAAACTATTAATATATGACTGAGGTCTCTAGTAGTGATATTCAATGATACAGAAATACAGCTGGAAAAATACATTAGTCTGGAGAAAATGAGTTCAGCATGTTGCTTATAGACAATATATTGGTAAATTCTACTTTAGGGATAATGACTATTTGTTTTTTAAAATCTAAACTGAAGTATTTATAATTGATCAATGATGGTTTTTTTAAGCTACCATTTTTGGCCTGCATCGTCTACTTCCTTTTCATGATAGAATAAACCTTTTATGTAAGCTCCTAATCGTATCACTCTATTGAGAGGTGGACCACATTTAAGAAATTACTTTTCAGAAAACTCAATAATTTTAGTCTCATTGACAGTCTTAGTTAAGTCAACATCTTCAAACATTTTAAACTATGTTTATGAAGTTAATATATTACATTTTCTTTTTAATTTCTTCAATGTCTAAATTAAGTAAACACTTTTTAAGTACTTAATATCCTTATAAATAAAATAAGTTAAATTTATAAATATAATAAATCTCAAGTTCTCTTAGATAGTCCAATACCATGTATCAAATTAAGATTACAATTAAAAATTCCAAGTCTAAAACTAATTCAATAATTCATTTATAATAGGAGTTATAAGGCTATCACTCTAAGAGTTCAAATTTCTTAAACACTGCAAGTATATAAATTGTGAATTACACACATATTTCTTATTAGCAAACACATTATTTCCATGGCTCTTACTCCATTAAGCCTTTCTGTACTGAACCGGACTGATCAGCGTTTTCCACTAGGGGTAAGACCTGGAGCTACAGTTTTGCTAAGCCACTGCCTGTGCATTCCTTTTAGCTCTCCCCATGACTGTCCCTAATTTTAAAGCCCAATCATATGTTTATTTTTTTCCTACTTCTTAAATTATCAGTATCTCTATCATTTGTGAGTAAAACAAGTTGGTTATAACTAGATCTGCTCAATACTGCTAAGTGACTTAAAGCTGGATCCAATTTATAATTTTGAACTCTCACAATAAAATAATATATAGGTCATCCAAAGTTGCAAAGTAGCCTATATTTTACATTACTCTCATTATGTACGTTATCCAATAGCACCTTTGCTTTTTCCTAAAGTAACTTCTTCCACAAAAATGTATTATCTTTAGAGGTTATTCGTGGTATTTTAGGATAAATAGGCTCGTAATACAATCCAACAAATAAAATGTGTATGCTCTTACCTTTGTGGAGGAGGGACACTGGGTGACCATGATCTAGTCCTTCCTATAACATCTACTCGGTGAGGAGACCCTGATGGTGAGCAATGGTTTGATGACATTACTTGTTCTGGCACTGATAATGTTGAGCTCTGAAGATCTCGACCATTGTGTCGATAATCTAAAGGTGGAAAGATTAAGACAACAGTTATCTACACATTGTCCTTTCGTATTTTCTACCTTACTGAAAAACGTAAAATGTTGGTGAAGCTGAAAGGCAAAGCATAATACTAAGACATAATAATATTTTGTAAACACTTAAAAAAGAATGACAAATATTCAAATATTTACATAGCTACTATGTCCACAGCACTGGGCCTGGTAGAGTAAAACTTTTATATACAATAATCTTCAATAAAATACTCAAGTTTATTCTAAAAATATTTTCATCTCTTCAGTGACCCAGGAGAGCTTCAACTAGTTCTCAGAAACTATATATATTTAAAATTATTAATCACAAAAAGTCCCTAAAAGTCTATAGCTATTTCTTTAAGAATTAAAACAGTATTAGAAAGCACTCTGAATACCACTTAAAGTACCTATGTGGACTGCTTTTCTTATTGTATTTGATAGGACTACATGGGTTTTGATGGTCTTAGCTAAACTTTTCCCCCAGATACCCTATTGTTTTGCAGGACACAAGGTGTGTGTGTTTTTTCAGGAATACATAGATGATGTAATAGAAACAACTGTGGAAACAATAGATTATCCCCATTTTACACTTGAGAAAACTGAAATTTATGTTGAGAAATTTATGGAGTGGGGAGGTGGGGGGAAGAGGTTAATCAAAAAACTTATATGCACATATACATAACCCATGGGCGTGACACACAGACAACAGCGTGGGGAAGGCCCGGGGAGGAGCACAGATACAGGGTGGATCAATGTGGGAACCCAAAACTTTGAAGTCACCTCTGTATAATTCTTATAAACATCAAAATCAGGATTACGGTATTATAGTTTCTGAAATGTTATCTTTCAAATGTATTATTAAAAACTCTCAAAATAACACTGTATTTCAAAATAGCAAAATATAGAATATTACACAGCAGTCATTTCTGCTCAACAGATTATTAACTGATTTGCTATATAGTCTCTACACAGGCAGAAAGAATAATGTTGAAACAAGGATGATTTTTATGATGTTGAAAAATAATGAACCCGAGGTAAATGCTTTCAATTATTCAGGTTTCCTTACACTATTCAGTAATAGCAAAAAAAAAAAAATCCCTATACAGGTTTTTTTATCAAAAAATACAATTTCTTTAACAGAACGTAAAAGTAATAAAATGTGGAAAAATCAATTATCAAAGGAATAGAATACAATTAGGGGGGAAAATTCTAATGATTCCCAAGCAAGAGACCATGGGAAATAGTTTTCAAAAACATTTTATTGATGTTTAATTCACAAACCATAATACATACAAATTATTTTTTGCAGTCTGAGTAAGTTAATATATTGTTCATCCTAAGTGCAAAAATAGAAGCTAAAAGATAGTCATTCAATTTTTAAAAAGTAATATCCTGATAGCATGTTAACTGACACAACTCTAACAGAAGTTATAAATTCTTATAAATCATTGATGCAACTGTAGCATGTTTTACATACAATACGACATATTTTGTTCAAGGTAAAATTAGTCAGACTCTTGACATTTCTCAGGTTAATTTACTTTTAAAAAGAAGGGAAACATTTTATAATATTAAGAGTATGGTGTGATAAATATTTTTTCCAGAATTTATTTCAAAAAAATGGCTACTTACCTAAATTTTAAATCATCAGATAATTTATAATCATAAATTAACAAATATTTTAAACTACAATACCATAACTTCAAAATGTAGCTGTATCTGATACTTAATCAACATTAACAGCAATGAAAAAAATTTCAAAATAGCCTATCCAAATATTTGGCATATTTGGGTATGTTGATGATATCAAAAAGATTTTTTTTTCACAGCGTTAGCACAGTATAAAAAGAAGTTTCAATTATACAATAACTCCTCAAAATTACAAAGAAATTCTTATTATTTAGTGGTTTAAAACAGAAAATTAATAAGAATTCACTTGTCTAAAATATTTCCATAAGAATGTTCAATCTAACAATTGGTACAGGTGTTCCAGCAACTAGAACTGTTCAGGAGTTAATAAGGCTGTTTTTGGTGGGGTGAGGAGGCAAGTCATTTCTTTCTCATTTTATCAGTCTCTCTATCTACTGGTAAATAATGATGAATTTACTCTTCCTTCTTATTACCATAAAATAATTCTGAAATTCTTACCTGACACCACACCAATTCCATCATCACAGTCATAGTCAGAGATTTCACTATCACTTATCCTCTTTGACCCTACAAAGCAAACAGCAATAATTAAAATGGGTGCGAACTAAGGCAAATCAAAAACACTTCTCACCAACCCGAAAAATAAATGAAGGATTTTGAATGGAACTTTAGAGTAAGAAATAGGCAGAGAAGGAAAGTCACTATGAGTTCACAAACATATTTTTACACATATTTCATGGTGTAGGTATATTATTCTTAAATTATTCTTGAAGTGTATAAAAAGGGGAACATCACTTTTTAACTATTAGTTTAGCTGTTTCTCTATTGTTTTGATAAGAAAATTTGAAATAAATCATCTACAAGCTAACAAATACATCTAAATTTTGAATTGTGTTATGTTTTCTAAGAAATAAGCTAAGACAGAACAGTAAAAATTATTATAACTCAGGAGCTCCGTGTGTGTTTTTATTGCAAAACAAACTTGTAACAAAATTTTTAAATGTTTATCATGTTCGGCAAAAACAGCATTGACCTGAACTAAATAGAACTTTGAAAGCTAAAGCAGATTGTCTTCACACTTAATTATGAAATATATCACATATGTAAACATGTTATATTTTGGTTTTTAATATATCTTTTCTCTGCATGTGTCTCAGCAATAGGCACACCTTACATAAAAGAATCATTTCTTAGAGCATTTAATAAAAGAAAACATTTGATGATAAATAAAAACAGTGTTGCTATTTCAAAAAATGAAGCTATTATATTACCCATAGGTAAACTGAATATTATTAATGATTAAATAACAATAGAGCCATTTCAGGATGGCAAATATTAAAAGCTGCAAAACTGATTAAATGATTATTGCATGCAAATCCATGATACATACAGCTAACTGGAAAGTACTCTATTCTCACTCTTCCTTACATGCACTTTCTTAGCTGGGGAGGAAAAAATAATGAAAATTGTTGGTAGATTTAAGTTTCAGATATTGAGAGTCACCAAACCTACTCCTTATTGCAATGACAACTGAGGTAAATGGAGATGAAGCCAGTCTTGTAAGAAAGGGCAATGGTGGCAAGCATTAGCAGCCTATAAACATAAACTATAAAAATTAGTGCATAATGAGTTCATCAGTAACCTTCATGTAGTAACCCATTGTGACTTAGAGAGAATGTACTGAGTAGATTACAGTGGCCAGGAAGATGAGACACTCTAAAATCAATACACCTAAAACTCACGGTAATATAATTATTACATTATCACAGCAAATGATGCTATAAAGGCAACTACAAATAAGGTTGGGTGGGTGTTTATTCTGTGAGGAGGCTGAAAAAAATGAGTGCTGTAAAATTAGTGTTCATTAATCCCATCCAAGTGTAAGAGACTGTATCTAATGAAAATAAAATTCTAGGCATTAGCAAGAACAGTTTTAAATGGAGAGAAGACCTTCTTTGCTCTAATTCTCTACTTGTCTAACAGCCGGATGATGTATACTTTAGTCCTCTGTTCAGCAGGAAGGGCGTGATCCAGACAGACAACAGGTACCTGTTATGTTGCCAAGTATACTTCCCATGATTGATAAATGGCATGGCATTCATACTATACATTTACTCTTCCGAAATTGGATTAATGGAAATCAGTTCTCCATTACTTCACGAAAATGTTGCTAAACCTGGAACATGCTGACTCCATGAAGATAAAAGCATCCCATGAATACTAAACAAAGCAGCAAGCACCCATCTCAGCTTTTAATCATAGATACACTGGGGAAAAACTTGAGTTGTAGAAGCAACAAGCCAACAATCTTCCATAGGAAAACATTTCTGAGTTTCCTTTAAGATTTTCTGGATCAATTTAATTCTATTTTATGGTTTAGACTATGTATAATTCAGAGTAAAATGCAAAATTGATGATAATAATAATAATATCAGATTAACTCATAACCATCCTGTAAAGTAGGTATTATTTCCATTTTCTAAATGAGGAAATAGAGATGACCCACCTCAAGTCATACAGCTCTTAAGTGAGAGAATCAAAATTTAAACTCAGGATTGTCTGAGTAATGTTCACAGTCATGGTTTCAACTACTATGCTATACTTGCTATTTTATATATTCATAAAATACTTGGCATAAGGAAGGTGGAAATCAGATTTTAAGTATCTACACCTACATGACCAAATTCTACTATGTATGCTATCTCTTTCACATGTTTAAGATTCTAAGAGCTAAAAGTAAAATACAACTGTGTTTCACTCGGGGTCATACTATAACTAGTGAATAATACATGTATAATGTCATTTTAGTGTATAAACCTATTTAAAAGCTTCAATAATAGCTATGAAAACACTGAGATACCTGTTAATACCCATAATGGTATCTTCAAATTCTATGTCATATATATCATTCAAGATAATTCAATAAAGATATGATAAATTTTACTGGAAACTAACTTTGTAACCTCCGTGTTGGGCTCTCTCCATGGAGCTGTCGCCGTGGCATGTATGGAGAAGGATGGGGAAGTGGAAATGAAGAGACATCATGGGTCTGAAGTTTGTACCAATGTGGCTCATCATCTAATAATGCTGTTTCTAATTCGATTAAAATCTACAAAGCCAAAAGACAAAAACTGTTATACACCAATAATACAGAAATTCTCTTAAATGGTCTCATAACTTTCATAATAATAACAGTAATGCTGTTAGATCAAAAGCAAAGACATGTTGCAAAATTATTCACATGTTTTGACAATAACGAAATAAAAGATAAATATTTATAACTTCTTAATTATTTAAAAGTGTTAAATATCTAAGATATTTATATGTATTTTGTTGGCCCTCGACCAACCACCTACTAGAAACTGTTGAATTTGCTATTACAGAAATAACAGCTATTATTACAAGTCTGTAATAATACTAATATATATATATATATATCGTCTTATAATTTTAAAAAAATTTTCATTTTCATTCATTAATTTAGCCTTTGCAAAAACTCTAAATGGGAAGAGAAAACCAAATTAGAAGTGTCTACTGTGTATTAAAACCCATGTTATATGTTACCTAAATTTTCAGGGGGGAAAACCACTTAGTTTGGTCTTGTATTTAGAACCATTGTTTTTTATGACATCAGTAAGTTCTGTCCTAAAGCAGTAGCTAAACTGATTCCATTAAATAAGTTATGTTTACTTTTCAGATATTCAAAATACAAAGTTTTACTGACAGTCATATAAACAAATATATTCAGGATGACATGAATAGTTTAAGCTTTAAAATAATTCCAGATACCTCTCCTAAGAATTCACTTTCTTCCTCTCGAACTCGAGCTTGATCCCAAAGGGTTATTTCCAGCATTCGTTCCCGAAACTCCCTTCGGTGGACTGGAGAATACATGAATGTTTGGTTCCATTTGGGTTCCAATGTTTTCTTTACGGTTTTAGTTCTTCTCTTGTTTTTATCACTATGAAAAAAATAAGAATATATGAACTTATATAAAACTTTATTTTAAATTTGCCATAAAATTATTAATGTAAAATTTCTCAGTAAAGAGGTCAACTTTTGCCACAGATTTAATACACATTGCAAATATTGTAATCTTTAAAATTGCTATTGAAATTTATAAGTTGTATAGTTATATCATTTATATATATGACTTAATAGCAATATTTCAATAAATCTGAAAATTTTCCATGATAATTAAATACTTAATCTTTCTCAAAATCTAAATAAAACCAGACTACAGGATCTTATTTCTAAATTTTTTTAACATATTGCCCAATTGGAAACCTTCCAAATGCTAATTAACCAATAATGCTACATATACTATTCACTTAAATTACAGAAGTCTTATTGTACAAAACTCTAGTAAATTGTGATGTTGACAACCTCACATCCATAGAGCTTAGCTAATCAATGGCTGAATAGTAATAAAGAAAAGCATCTAAGAAGGAAAAGTTATCTAGAGAGCCTATTTGATGTCAGCAAACTTTGTAAAATAAAATTATATAGCGAACAGCTCCTAATAACTTTAAATACTGTCCCACCTTGACATATTTTCTGAGAAATTTCTATTACAACTTTCACTTCAAAATGTGTCTCATAGCTTTAAGGCCTTTCTTGTCTTCCATCTTTTTCGTCTTTTTCTTTGCTGAAACTGTTCTTCAGAGGATGCTTTGGCACTCAGCTCAACCTGGATGACTTAAACTAAGNAATTGTCTTCCATCCTTTTCGTCTTTTTCTTTGCTGAAACTGTTCTTCAGAGGATGCTTTGGCACTCAGCTCAACCTGGATGACTTAAACTAAGGAAATGGGGGTCTAAAAGTATATAAACATACTTAAGATCGCATTGTGCCAGTCACTTCCAGCCTGAGAAAAAATGAGCAGATCTGGAGAGTACCCTGCCCTGANGTCTTCCATCTTTTTCGTCTTTTTCTTTGCTGAAACTGTTCTTCAGAGGATGCTTTGGCACTCAGCTCAACCTGGATGACTTAAACTAAGGAAATGGGGGTCTAAAAGTATATAAACATACTTAAGATCGCATTGTGCCAGTCACTTCCAGCCTGAGAAAAAATGAGCAGATCTGGAGAGTACCCTGCCCTGACGGCAGGGATGCAGAAGAGCTGGGGGAAGGGTAACTGAAGCCATTACTTCTTTCTTTTTTAATGATGCTACAGAACAATCTTGTTTATTTTTTATGTGCCTGAAATTTAGAATGAGTAGGTAATTTTTGATAAGTTATTTCTCCAATCCTCACTTTCCTATTTAAATCAGGGTAGAACAGTATCATTTATGTTGATTAGCAACAACATAAGACAAATCAAGCTGGAAGAAGCCGATTCTGGGCCGAATGGTAAATTTCCTTGAAGATATGGGGTGATGAAATAAGTATACTCATTAATTTTACAGAATTTAAAGAAATACTATCTTAGTAAGAGAAGGTAGAAATTGTAGAGGAATATGAGTACCTTTTAGAACCATCTCTAGCGTTTGCCTCTGCGGTTAGTGTTGAAAATACATTTGATTTAAAGGAGGCTAATTTTTATTAATTTTGATAAATAGAAACATACATTATTTAAGAAATAATCCACACAACCTGAAATAAATATGCAATAAAATAATCTATATTATGGAAATTTGAAATAATTTTAAAAACAATCACGAAGTATTTGCCACCACTATTTTGATTCCTAAGAATCATTATGCTATGTTAAACTTCATAAATACCTGATAAAAACAAATGATACAGAATAAAAACACCCACTGCTATTAACATTTCTCACTTATTTTCAAAAACATTTATTTTTATTTTATATTCCTACCTTCTGTCTGGAAGAAAGTAAATTTTAACATAAGGATTCCTTGGCCTCCCATCTTCTCTGGAAGGGAGATCCTTTGCTCCCAAAATTGTAACTATTAATTGGTGACCAACTTTGTCAAACCACAGTTTTATCTGAAAAGCAAAAATATTCATTTATCAGCTCAAACATTTATCACTATAACATGATTTTTACATCCTGAGCTCCATTCACTACATTCTCTTACATTAATACTAGCAGAGAATATAAATTTCACTTAGTAAATTGTGTTTAAATAAAAGGATATGCTTTAATAACTTCAATGAATAGAGGAATTAATTAAAATATTTCAGTTTGATTGATAAATTACTTGGAATTTTGTTTTCCTAATTTGACTCCTTATTTAACATGCACATAATAATTATACTACCATAACTAAGGACTTTCTATGCAATGACTGCTGTGTTTTATCTTTATGCAAGAATCACTGTGGTTCATTTTGGCTCCCCTACAATAGTGAGCTCAAAATAAACGTTCGAAATGAACTGAATAGACAGTAACTTGTTTACATGGCATTCACAGGGAATTTTTAAGCAAATGTTTTATATAACTCCACAGCAGAAAACATTTCAAGGATTATAAGCAACAGGGGATTACTAGTAGCTTTATTCAATAGACTCCTTAAGTTTCTGTTTGAAACTATAATAAATTCATGATTTTAAATTTTTCTTAGACATAAAGTCTCTTTTTGGTTTGTGATGTAAATGTATCACATCCTTAGAATAATAAGGGTATATTTTATAATTTGAGATGAGAAAATGTGAATAATTTCCCTATGCCATAATCAGGAATTGGAACTTCACATCCAGCTGCTGAATTCATTTGACTTAACAGCTGTCACCTCCCACACACATGCCTCACACTCCCACACTAGCTCCTGATTCTACTGTGTCAGGATCGTAACTGTGGTTCTGACCCACAGGCTGGTTCAGAGCTCACCCGATACTATCTTGAAATTGAATAAAAAATTTGAAATTCGGGAATAAAATTAAATCTGTAGAATATGTTTTTGTGGTATATACATATATATATATATGTTAATGATTTAACTTTTTCTTTAATCTGAATACACAATGTTTGCAGTAGTTTAAGAAAATTAAATATACATCTCATGTCGGTCCTTCCCTCCCTCCTCCAGAGCGGAGTCAGGTCCGGGCCAGGCTAACAGGGCTTTGTTGAGTCCCTGCCTTTGTATTTTAGAAAATGAGAAGCTGAGCAAGAGAAGAGGAAGACAGATGGCCCAGAAGAGTATGTAAAATTATTTATAGGCTTTTTTTTTTGTCAAATAGAATCAGCCCTCTTACAGAACAATAGTAAGAAGCATTTAAATTTTAAAAGTATAATCACTACTCTCTTTGTTGTGTCACGTCCTTACGTTTAACACGGGTATTAATTATCCTGCTGTCATGTAACAGAAAGTTCTCCTAACAGAGCTGCTCAGATCAAACAGACCAGATAAGTCTGCTGTTCACAAGCCCCCTGCATCAGTGTTATATGGTTTATTTGTGAAGAAGCTAAAAATTCCTGTGGCCCACCTCTCACCTACTGAATGAGAATAGGGTCCAGAAATTACCATCTTAACAAAGTCCTCCAGTTCTCACAGACATCAGAGTTTGAGAACCATGGCATCAGATTAGGGGATCAACCTGGGAAAATGCCCCTACCACTTGAATGGAGAAAAAAGTTCAAATATTTGCTTGCCTAACAATATCAGAACATAGCTACAGGTGAGGATAAGTGGGAAAAGACACTGAACTGTTCTGGCAAAAGATGAGGGGAGAAAAATAAAGGTAAGAAAAACATGAGTGTCTTATATATGACATGAAACAGAGATGTTTTCAGATAGTATGCATCATGGTTCCTCTAAAATGTGCGATCAAACCAGATTAATTTCTGATATTCTCTCTTGTCTATAGAAATAAAAAAGCATATGGCTTTATTTTTCCATGATATTAAAAATCCAATATTAGACACCTTAGAGAGAAAAAAATTCTAAAAGGGTAAAAAATTTTTTCCAGTAAACTTCACATTTAAGAAACAAAGAAACAACAGTGATCATTATTAGACTAAGCTCATAATGAATAGGAAACATTATTGATTTCTGTGTTGTTTTTTTGAGGGATTAAGACTAAGCACTTGTAGCCATCGCCAAAGGCAATATTTTTACTCCTTTGGAATCATTACAGCTAAATATTTGAGATACATATTTCAAATATCTGATAATGAGTATTCTTTTTATATTTTCTTATGCCATGGGAAACCAAAAATATCACCTACTAATAATATTCATTTTTTATACAAACATATTAGGCCTATGGCTTTCATATTTTCATGCAACTCAAGAGCTTACTAAATTAAACTTTATAAATATATATATGTTAAAATATATAAATATGAAACATGTACATTTTAAATTAATGATTTTTTTTATCAAAATTACACTTTTTAATAAACTCTCTTAAACTGGGCATTTGATCAATAGCTCCAGTTTTCACTTTATATTACAAGACTTGCATTGAAGTTTTTAATAGATATCCAGCGCACATTATCAAAACATAATCATTTTATTAGCTAGATTATTNATAGCTCCAATTTTCACTTTATATTACAAGACTTGCATTGAAGTTTTTAATAGATATCCAGCTCACATTATCAAAACATAATCATTTTATTAGCTAGATTATTTTATCACATTTTGAAATTCTTTATCTATGCTTTTTAAATGAATGGTTAATAAATCTGTTGATTCCCTAAAACATAACAAATGTATTTCACAATATGGCATACGTCTTTATATTTACCTCATTTTCATTAATAAAAATCTTGGTATTGTTTTAATTGTTTTAACATAATTATCATTCCAGCTTTACCATGTAACTATTTTTAAATTTCCTAAGCAGAACCTGAGCAGCATATATAAATATGTTATACTATATAATATTAACTAAAACAATTTCAATTTTAAAAATTTAAACTAAATTAGTACTATTCAAAACCAACTGTAACAAAAAAGCATGCAGCAAAGCAAGGAAAGCATAATACTACTTTTTTCAAAAAACTATATTGATATTACTTTACCATATAAGGGTTTCCTAATGAAGAGAGGCAAACAACTTGTACCCAATTATTACAGTAAAATTAAATGAAATTGCAATTACAAAATGTAAACAAAATAAGCCCAACACATTTCAGTTGGATTGTGATTTTGTTCTTTCAAAGTAATATACTTTCCAAATGTTGAAACTTATATATAATATGCATAAAATCCATATTTTAAATAAGGTACAAATTTATTTGCCAATTTCCTCAAGGAGTTATTGCTTGGAAAATGCAAACAAATGTAGATGTTAAGTGGTATAATGAATGATTTAAAGAGACAGCAACTGTGTGTAGTAAAGGCAAATACCAACAGTTAAATTAGCCATTTCTTTCAATGTTACTATATAAGTAGAATCTACATTCAATGCCACTCTGAAACTTATGAGTTTTAGTATTCAATTCATCATATTAAATCACTAACAAAAATTGTCTCTTTAAATTTTTATTGTATTTTAATCCCCATGCAGAATTTTACAAGCTGGCTCATAAAATGATTTGAAAGTCAATAATGTGGCTTGGAGCAACATACCAAAAAATGTTTTCCTATTACGCATTTTCCAAAAACATACAAATAAGGGTTAAACACAACTTTAGCTTCTATCAGGCAGACAAGGCCTTTACCTGAACCCTAGGAACAAAAGGCGCTGTTCTTCTACTAAGGCTTTGGCTCTGGTAAGCAAAATTAAAGAAAAAAGCAATAAAACAAAACCAAAAGGACAACACGCTGGAACCAAAAAACCAAAGTAAAAACAAACACATACAACTGCCCCTCAAGTAGAACTTTTCCATGACAATATGCATCTAGATTAAGTACGTCAATGTAATGAATAAGTTAACTTTGCCAAAATGCTAAACTATATAAAATCTTAGAATTTTAAAATCAGGCTTTTATGTGTAATAAAAAACAATAGGAATTAAGACTCAATATAAAATAACATATTCAGACTGAAGGAACGTAAACGGAACCCAATAGCCAAGAAGTTTCAGGTTTCACCCTTAAACAAAAATCATAGTCCAAAATGATGTTAGATAAGGATGCATCACAGGATCACTAGTGAAAAGACATCTTTACAAGTAATTGTGACTTGTCCAAAATGATATGTCTAACAAAAGTCTAAAAAACATTAGCCAAATTGGCTTACCATTAATTCTTAAAATAATAAAGAGTAAATAAAAGTATGTTGGAATGCACTGGATTCATTAGGTGATTCATACTTTAAGAATTTACATCATTTTTCAGACATAACACTGTTTACTGCTAATCATACCAATTAATGAAAATATCTCATTTATTTTTATTTATATAGTTCTTTATATTTTTCCCAAGCATTTGCTGACAGTTTATTGCAAGTTTACTGCCTCCAACAACACTTGACAGTAGTTGGTATTATCTCCAGTTTGTAGATAAGGAAACAGGAACAGACACCACCACAAAAAAGGCTAGATACTCAAACAAAAGGGAAAAATACTATAAAGGTAGAAATTAGAGTCTACCTCTGATTAAATCACTCTATTTCACATTCTTTGAGTAAAATCAAATTTCATTTCTCTTCTGACTTATTTCATTTTCATTTGAAGCAGCCTTCAAATGAACAGATACCCCAATGATCAGAATTGTGTGCCTTTACTAACGCGTTTCAACAGTTAAATCAGGAACAGAATCAGATGCATATATATCTCTGGGTTTGGAAATGGATTTCAAGGCATTTAATTTTGCTTCTTTCACCAAAATTCCATTCCATTCCTTTCATCTCTCATGGATGTCTCCCTTGTCTAATTCCCCGGCTACATGGAAACAGTTAATAGGTACTAGGAGGACTGTTGCCCAATTTAACTATCATCAGACTTACACTCTGTAAAATATAAATCTAAGACCTAAAGGAAAGAAGGTCTTAAAAAACAGCCTATCAGTCAATCATGACTCAACATCCTCTCTCTCCAAAATCTAAGGCAGTCTCAAATCTAACCTGTCTCCCTTTTTGTGTGGAAATATATCCAGGGGAAGAAAGAACTGTTTAGATATGCAGTGTGTTACTGTCCTCTGTCTGTGTAACTCTAGATGGGTAATTCTATAGCAAATGGGGAAGGGATGTACAAAATTCAGAGAGATTAGGTACAGTAAAGGAAAGAACGAACAAGTTACTTTATTTAGAAATGGATTTTATTTTCCTTGCCCTCTCACCTGTTCTACCTGTTTTAGACCAAAAATATCATGGTAATGGAAGTAAATATTACTTCATAAACTAAAAGATAACTTTAAAAGAAACAGTACTTTAAAATAAATTAATCTTTTAAGGCAAACATTCCCAACCTTCTCAAATGATTTCAAATGGGTAACTCACAGAATTCCAAAATCAATTGCCTAAAAATCTACGAGAATTTAAACCTAATCTTTACCCATAAGTTCATACATTAAACTTGGCTATAAAAACGTATTTTATTAGTTTTTTTAAATGAGGTGAAATTCAAATAACATACAATAAATCATTTTAAAGTGTACAATTCAGAGGCAGTTAGTGCATTCACAATGCCTTGCAACCCCCCCAGCTTCAAAAACTTTTCATCACCCCATAAGATCATCATGGACCAGTTAAGTAATCGCTCCCCATGCCCCGCCCCCATCATCCTAACTCCTGGCAACCTCTAAGCGGCCTATGTCTCTATGGATTCTGGATATTTCACATAGGAATGGTGAAATCTTATGTATTTCATTGCAACTTGTAATTAATATTACTTCATTTATTTTAAACATAAAATACCTGTGATCTATAACAATTCAGCCTCATCCAAATAAAGAATTAGAATTTGTACAGCACAGTTTATTTTGCATTTTAATGTCACTCTCTACTATACACTGCACTGCTAGATTTCGGACATTCCCTTTAAGCAATACTTCTGGAATAACAAGGCTGTGGCAATAGGTATGAAAGATAAATGCCCAAAATCAAAAACTTTAACTTACAGAACATTTTTAAAAGTCTATAGCGTTTCTAAGGAGATCTAAAAGATGCATACCTACTCTTCAGTTACTTACTCCCTTTACAGGGCATATAAAATGGATATGTACAACATTTACAAGCTCATCACTAAAAATGGAGTCAGAAGAATATTAAAGAACTCAGGGAAACACGGGAACCGTAAGTCAGCCACAGACTCTAAAGGAAAGTAAGACTGTCAAAAAGAATCAGTGTATTCCTACAGAAAAAAGGATTCTGAGCCAGTTCTCCCTGTTAAAAGATGGGAAGGCTACATTTTATCTTAATTCTCTAGCAAAAAAAAGTGGCCCAAAACCACAAATTAATTTAGAAATATTGAGAGGTTTATAAAAGTAATCCTCTGAAGTAGGAAACTGCTAAATTATGGAAGAACCCAACTTTTTTTTCATCAACACAGGAGCGCTGACAGTGGAAAGACTAACATACAGTCCAGGTGTCATAAACGTGAACTTACACAGATTTTCTCACCAAGTACATTACTGGCACTTTCATAGCTATGCCCAAGAGTAGCCACAAGCAGCAGCACCATTCAAGCATGGAGAGGAAATGTACCGCATAATGTTTTTTTAAATCATCAACAGCCTTGAGCATGAAAGTTTAAGCAACAATTTGCATTGTATGTATATTTTCTATTTGAGAAAATATCAGTCCATGAACTGACATGAATATATTAGGAAGGTCAGCTCACATACTATACAAATTATCTTTCTTCTCAGGCATTAGCAAGGTCATGATTTTATAAATGAGTTATGGGCCCTGGAAAACTCTTGCCAAAAGCAAAAATGCCCAAAGGTAAAATAGAAGGATACAGAAATTGAAATGCCGCCTTGTGACTTCCTAGGAGCGTTCCCAAAGGGTGATACGCGTGGACACACATTTTCCGACCTCTACATCATAACGGCATACCAAAACTGTCTCCAGTTGGCAAAGAGGATTAAACATACAGGGAAATACTATATCCAAAGAGTATATTGCTTATGTTTTCCTGCATGCAAAGAATAAGTATAAAATTAAGCTTCATGAAGGTAGAATTCATGTTTACCTTGTTCACGGTTGCATTCCCAGCTACCAGTATTATAGCTGAACTGGAGTTAGACCTTAATATATATTTCTCACATAGCTCATTGGAGTTTCATTTGGTAAAAACATTTTGGGGGGAAATTTGGGCAACAGATTTCAAGAACCTTAAAATTTTCTTTTCCTTTCATACTGCAATTTTACTTTTAGAAAGTCATCCCAACACTAGAATTCCGTCCTAATGAAATACACAAGATTTATATTAAAGGATCTCCATGGCATCATAATTTATAAGAGCATAAATGAGAAACAAGATATCCTATTATAATAAATTAGGTTAAAATGGGGTATTAAATAGGTATTAAAATTATGTTAAGCAGAATTTTTTTTAAAAAGTTTAAAGAGAAAGTGCTCAATATATTAAATGAAATAGAAGGTTTCCCAATAGTATATACAAATTTATTACAGCTTTGTTTAAAAAAATTTATGTATATGAATGGCTATATTTTAGTGGCAGGACTCTAGGTTATTTTTATTATTTACTTATCTGTACTTTCTAGATTTACAACAAATATTATTATATTTATAAACATTATCTAATTGAAACATATTCCTTCCAAGTCACAAGAAAATGATAAAATGGTACGTATTTAAAATTACAATTGCATGGACTTTAAACCAGCATCATTTATAAATCTAAATAGTGTAACTTTATACCATTATAAATACTTATAAGTAAAACTTCTATGTTCATATTTCCCCAAAATATTTAACAGTGGTACTTGTTCACCACATTCAATGTGAACCATGAGGAAAAACTGTGGAAGCCCAAATTTGTCTAAACCTTTCCCTGCTAGTCCAATTTGTAATAGGGCCTCGGGATTTTAAATGAGGTAACACAGTGGTACTTCTCATGGAAGTGTAGCGTCCACTCCTTCCTCCTCCACCAACTGCAGCCAACTACACACACACACACACACACACACACACACACACACATATTTATTTATATACTGGTATCATCTAGCTGCCCAGAACATTACTTAAAAATGAACTATTTAAACACGGCCATAAAAAAAGAAAAACAGTTAATATTTATTACCACTTCCTAAACTGGTGGGGGAAAAAGGCATATACATTTGTAACCATAAATAACAACACCCGTACTGTCAATATATGTAAGAGATAAGTAAAAAGATGCTATGTATTGTGGGAAAATGAAAAAAGACCATTGTCCTCAAGTGAAAAGTTCACTAAAGTTTATGAAAGAAAAAGGAAAAGAAAATAATAAAGAGAAGAAATTCATTTTAGTGAGACATTTACAATTTCCTAACAGTGTCTCAATTTTCCTCCTTACATAACTTTTTGTAACTGTCACGTTTTTTATCAAAATGGTCCCAGAACAGGCACGTCTAATAACTTTTTCAATAAATTTTCATATATGAATTTTATTTATTCTTCCTATATCTCCTTTAAATTAATAAAAATTCAGTAATAATCAAACACCTCCCTTTCTCCAAAAAATATAAAAGAAGTTCTGTAACTTATTTAGTAAAGATTTTTCTAGTGCTCTTAAAATATTCGCCCAAGAATAGTTTAGTTTTTAATGATAATTTTGAATCAAAACTCAGTGTCTAAATTTTGAGAATCTACATAGTTCTTGATATCCGTAAAGTTTCAAGTTTAATAACTTAATGGCATTATTGTCAATGCTAACCTATATGTTTCTAAAACGTGACTGGAAAAATTTTAATACTTTAACATTTTTAAATGGTTTAAAAAGAGAAAGAAAACTGAAGAAGTTAACAAAAAAGTGAGGGCTTACATTTGCAAAGTTCTTCTCATATGGACATAAAACGCAGATTTGAACTTTTAACTTTCATTATGAAATGTTCAAATTAGGGACCATTTAACATGAAATCACGTGGTGGACTCAGGAGTCAATTATATTTTCCCATGTACTTAATTTTGTCTGTTGACAAAAGCATCTCAAGTATCAGTATATTTCAGAGCAATATGCATCCCCCACTCAAAAGTTCCTGAAAGCTGAAAAGCAGGGAAAAGTAACTATTTACTTTTACCTTAAATATACCGTCTTTGTATAGTGCAGAATTTTTATTTCCCTTAAAAGTTTACAACACATTATAGTCATTTTAGGGTACTGAGCAAAACTCATAACCTTGAATTTTGAAATAATATTGCTAACCTTCAAAAATTCTAACTCATGAAATTACAGAAAACCCAACTCTAATAAAGAAAGGACTATGATAAATAATTAAAATTGAATTTCAATTAATTAAAATGACTAAGAATGAGAAGGTTGATGGTTAAAAGCACAATTATATTCTAAGAACTTGGTTTACCAAAAACTAGCAACTTGGTACTCCAGAAAGAAAAGTTAATTTAGTGATTACATACTGAAAGTTGTCCAGATAAGAACTGTGGAACATCTCTCAACATGCCCGGACTCATGGGAGAGGTAACGGAAATAGAAGGACGATCCATTTTCTGAGATTCGAATGAGCTAGAACCTGAAACGGTAATTACACATAAAAAGTAATAATAATGGCTCTTCATTGGGATTTAACAATCTTCACCATGTAGCTCTTAACTTTTATGTTTTACGCCCACACAATGTCATTACATGGACCATTTCCTTAGCCACAATGTCCCAAAGTGTTTAGAGGCTTTTACTGAAGCATAAGTGAAATTGGGGACTCTCTTATGACCAAGGGTGAACGGTTTTCTGTGCCAATAAAAATATAGGCAGATACCTACTTCAGGACTTATTTGCTTTGTTAATGTGCACTAAATTCATATGTTACAATAACATTAAGAACATTTTAAAATAGAAACTTAGGTATGAAAAATCAAAACCTAAATCAATGAGGCAATTTGAAGATGCTCTAAACTTGTAATACTAAAAATGTAAGTACTACAATGTTAATTATAAAAATGTTTGCAGGAAGTGGTTTTTTAATGGTATCTGGAAGAACATAATAAATTAGACGGGCAGAAAGGAAGTGAAGGACTATGAGAAAAAATATCAGAAAAAGCAGAACCACAGTACTCAGAAATGATTATGTATGGAGGAGGGGAAAAAGACAAATTGGAAAGTGAGTAACAATGGGCTAATGGGATACTTGGGGGGATTCGGTGCCTGGAATTCTGGGTTACATATTTTGGAACTAATAAAATATCCATGCTGAACTCATGAATGAGGGAATAAAAACTGCATTTGAGAAAGATGCCTTTACCCCTTATTTAAAGTGTAAATTGAATTGGGAACATGGAAAACAGGAACAAGTGGAATTCAATAAGTAATAATAGGAAAGGTTGCAAAATTGGAATAGAAAGAATTCAGGCGATACTATAAAATAAGAAAATGAAGTCTCCAAAGCTAATTAGATATGAGATACAAAGGAAAGAGGGAGTAACGGGGTGGGAACCAGGTGGAGGGGGCAATGGGAAAAAAGGGGCGCATCTGTAATACTCTCAACAACAAGATAAAAAGAAAAATATTTCAAGTCATATAGCAAGGTGCAGTGTCAAGAAAGTCTCCAATGTGTCTGTCTGGTTCTCTGCACAGGACCAGGCTGATATTCCCTGGGATACAGAACATAGGAGAGGTTCTGTGTTGAAGGGAATTAGTGGAAAAGTTAATTTGGAACACAATGACCCTGTGATGCCTCTGAGATATCCAAGGGGAGATATAAAACAAGTACTGAATATATGGATAGAACCAAATGTAGAGTAGACATTAGTGTTAGAAATTAAACCGTAAAGTGTCTCCCTAATTGGAGGCACACGTGGATAAAATTCACCTCTAGAGAGAGTGAAGGGAAAAGTGAAGAGGGAAGCTGCAAGCCTTGGGATCGGAAGTCATAGCGATTTAGAAGCAGAAAGATTGCCGACTTTATAGTAAGAAATAAGCTCAGTTTTCTACATTAAGCTTCAAGGAACAAGGAGACACTTAACAGAATGTACTTTTTAAACATTCAAAAATGAAAAGGCAATGAGAGATAATTCTGATATGGAAACTTAGGAGTCACATGAAAATAAAACTGTATGAAGAGAACTTACTGAGGAACTAAAGACAGAGGGTTAAGAATCGGGCCTTGGAGCAACCTGTTCTTTGGCATTTATAGAATAAAGGATTAAATATAATTTGAGAAAAGACCCCTGCCTCCTCATGAACAATTCTGGAATTGTTTCATGCTGCTCATACAATATCTGAGTGATTTAACAAAAGCGAATAAAATGTATGTCCTTCTTAGGATTCTTGTAAGAACTGTGATAATGCAGATACAATATCAGGCACAGTTTTAGGAATGCAATAAAATGGGAGTGATGATAATAATGATAATATCATTATATATAATTGTTATTATTATCGTTATATTAGCATTTATTTATTATGTTATAGTTTCATGTGATCGTGACATTATTTTGGATAAAATGATTTAGCACCTAGCCAAATAGGTGATATGGTCATATTTTAAAGTATAGAGCTATGACACTCCAGAAGGAGTTCACCTATCTGGTAAATATTTTTTAAATTTTTATACTTATAGTTGTAATATAAAATTTAAAATAGATCTATTTTAATAGGATACTCTCAGTTATTGTGCATACAGAGAACCCAACCACTTCTCACCACCTTCACTGCTCCCAACATGGTCTAAGTCACCATCATCTTGCCACTAATATACTAAAATAGTCCTCTCACTGGTCCCTCTGCTTTCACCCTTAACTCCATTTACTATATTTTCAACACAGTATCCAGATTTTAAAACATAAGTCTCTCATCAAGACTAACTATGGAGATCTTGATTTCCCTCAGAGTAAAAGCCAAGTCTACAGAGGCTTATAAAGTATGCAACTTGACTGCCCACTCCTCTCTGGTCTTCCTTCCGACCATTCTCCAACTTGCCCACTCTGCTGCAGCCAAACTGGCCTTCTTGTTTTTCTTTAAATGCATCTTAAGCTTTTCTGCCTCAGAGACATTGCATGTCTGGTCCCTGTACCTGGAAAGCTTTTCCCCCAGAGAGCCAATCTTTCTCATCATTGCCCAAATCCTTCCTTCTCGATGTGGTCTACCCTGAACAATGTACTCCAAATTGCAGCCCTCCTCTCTTCTTTCACAATATCCCTTATTCTGCTCTCAATCAATGAAGAAACTTAGTTCACTGGGAAAAATTCATTAGTTTAACATCTAAAATGGCACTCGAACACAAGTTATAAAAATTATTTATGTGTTTAACCTTATTTCAAATAAACTTATACAATATGTCTATTGTTCCACTATGACTGATGTTAAATCAGAAATATTATCCCATTTCCTAAAAATATATATAAGAATATATATAATTATTCACTAGATTGTCCCAAGCATCCCTCATTTACTAAGGGTTAGGTTACACAAGTAGCAAATTTTAAAATTAAGGGAAATTTTGGGAGGAGGAGGTGAAATTTTGGGAATGATGGTATGTTCATTATTTTTTATTGTGATGGTTTCACATATATGTCAAAACATACCTGTGAATGTTCAATATGTAGAGTTTATTGTAATGTACCTTAATAAAGCTATCTAAAAATACACAGTAGTTAAAACAGTGTAGTTAAAAAAAACTATCTTAAAGTCCTATAGACTTTTATACTTTTTCCCATCTTTGTATGATCATATACTTGATAACAAGATTATATTTCCTACTTTGTATTAAGAGATGAAATACTTCATTTCACCCCAGATGAATGACATTATTAACAACATTTTCTTCTAGAATAAATGAAACTTACTGGACTCCAGTTGTGCATGTGTGCTATCAGGTATTCTAGGGATATCTCTGAAATGAGAGAAAAAGAAAACAGATTGTTGCAACAATTAATGCCACCTCTATTTTGATCATTACCAACCTATATTATAAGAGGACAGTATAAAATGAACAAAATTGCGTATGGTAGTGGCATTATGTATATAAGAAAAAAACAAGCTGTAGTCCTCTATTGCTAATAAAAGTATTCTTGGTTAAAACCAAATACTTACAAGAAATTAAAATTCATACCCATTTATAGCAGATTTGCAAAAACATATACTTTATTTTCAATATGTCTCACTATATAACTGTCCATTCTAAAAAATTTCTACATTCAACATGTTTTACAGAAACAATTCTATTCCATTCTTTATTTTTACTTGCTGTTGTTCTAAATCACTAGTATTAAAATGCAAATAAAATATCACCAAAACAAAAATCAAATTATTCAGATTTTTATTGAAATTTTTTAAATGCAATAACTCCGCTGAGAAAAATGTAAATATGTTTCTTATTGGGACTTACAAAATTACTTTGCAACTGCATTTACAACAAAAATATGTACATTTTGTCTGAGATTTGCCAAAAGGGGTAGATATTAATGGTTAAGATCATTCAGAAAAATTACATAAAAAAATATTTAAGACATTAAACAAAAACATTTAGAGTGTCTTTTAACATGAAGAAATATATACAGTACAGTTTTACCATAATACAAAAGCAAAACAAAATGAAAAACAGATACATTTTCCAGTGCCAGACTCATTACTTTTGAAAGGAGCATTTCAAAGACTAAGTGACCAACGTAAGTCATTTTCTACAGCATAAAAAGAGAACAAAATAATTCAGTCCCATCATTTCCTAAATGAGTAAAACTGGATTATATTCTACAGCAAGAATTAATTTCTCTAGCCCTCACCCTAGAATGCTTTTACCCTGAACATGCATTTAACAATCCAGTCAGTCTATAATGTTTAATTGCTTTTCCTAATTATAGGTATATCTCTTACATTGGCTTAGAATATAAGCCTCTGTAAAGGAAACACTACTGAAATGAGTAATTCTCACAACATAGGTGCAAAGGACTGTATTTATTGTCAACTTTTGGAAATTGTCAATTTAATCCATAGGTAACAAATTATGAAAACAAATGAGTATTTGGCAATTGCTTATATTTTTCTTTTTCTTTGAAGATGTTATGTTTTTCCTTAAATTGTTCCCTCTATCTGGGAATAGTATGTCTTAGGCCCTCTCATTCCTGTGTTGAAATCTCCCTTTTGGAAAAAAATGCAAAAAATCATAGCATACAGTTAATCCTCATTTTTACAATAAAAAGGACCATAGTTCATGAAACTTCCTTCAAAACTAATTGTTACTATAGTCCCCTTCTACTAATGCCATCAGCCATCAACTAAGCTACTAAGATAAAAATCATAAACAGGTAAATGTTTCTTCTTTTGTAATTAGCTGTATAATCAGATAAGGAGATGTCATGATTTTTGGTGAGGTGTTTTTAGTAAAAGAAAAAAAAAGTCCTCAAAGTAATGTATTTTTATAAAGCATTCAGACATTTTTGGTTTGCACTTCACAAACGGTTTAATGGTAGTCAACTCTATACATGTGAAAGGTACTCAAACCAACTTACCCAATAGGCCGAGAAACAACAAGCTCCACTTGTGGTTCAGGTTTGGATTCCAGAATGATGTTATATACTTCTTCAAATGTGGCTCCTTGCAACAGCCTTCCACTCCATTCTAACACTTCATCACCTAGTGTGTGTGTCAGTAACGATAATCTTAGGGGGAAAATCTAATCCCATAAAATGCACTCAAAACAAAGTAATCCTTAAACTGCGATGAATTCCATAGAATAAAATCACCAATATGAAATAAGAAACATACTGAAAGCAGCTCCAGTGGCATAAAATTTGATGACAAGGATTATTATATTTCACCCAAAAGGCCAAGGGTTGGAAAAAAATTATGTAAAAGTTATCTCTGTGATCTCGGGGATATTCTCAGTGGTGTCTTGTCCACCAAAGTTGCTAGTTGTTCTTGTGAAGGGGTGTAAAGTCAGGAGCAAGTATGTCACCATCTTGGTGACACAGAAATTTTAACTCTAATAGAAATTCGAATTCTAGAAACTATCAAGATCAGTAGCCACTTTGTAGATTTCATGACTCTGCATTCCAGTGTTTTCAAAATATATTTGGTTGACCACTTGTCTGAACTCTCTTGTAAAAAGCTTAACATTTAGAGTCTTATCAAATCCTCTCCAAGACACTCAAGGATCTCTCCTATCCATTACCAAAGAGACAAAGAGTGACACACTTTAGGAAGTATGTATTTATCTATGAAGTTTGTTTCCTAAACTATGTTGGAATTTTTCAAAAAAAAAAAAGTGAAGGCTTATGGAAAACAAAATAGGTTAATACTAGAGACAGAGTAGGACTATCCATAAGCAAAAACAAAAGAAATCGGTAACTATAAAAATATTTTTATCTAACATGACTCAAGAAATAGTATTACAACTTTTCATTAATGTATAGATTTGTTACATGAGCTCTGTTACTGGTCAAATCACTTCTAAATGAGGATGTTTTTCATAACTACTCAAGTTTAACGGTATAAATGTAAACAATCAAAGGTAGAAACCTACCTGGTCTAAGATGTCCTACAGTATCGGCTAAACTTCCTTTTTTAACTTTGGTAATAAATGCACAGAGCCGACCTGATTCAGTCATCTTTCCTCCTACAACCTGTTTAAAAGAGAAAAGTGTTACAAGACACATTTTTCCAATCAACATGGTTGAAGATTCAAGTAAAAAATAACTAGACAATTTATAGCTTTATAAAAAAAATGTTTTTGTTGATTTGAGAGAGAAAGGAAAGGAGAGGGAAAGAAACACCGATGTCAGAGAGAAACAGTGATTGATTGCCTCCCACATGCATCCCAATCGGGATCTAACCTAAAACCTGGGCATGTGAACTTTTGACCATTTGCATCCCAGTTTTTCTATTTTTATGTTTCTGTTGAGATATAGGTTGAGGCAAAAGTAGGTTTACAGTTGTTCGTATGGAAAAATAATATAAGTAGTAATACAATAATAAACTCTATTTCTTGTACTCACAACTATAAACCTACTTTTGCCCACTCCTGTATATCTTTCTGAGAAATATATATATTACCAAGAATGCTGCAGAGTCATGGGTGTACCTGCAAGAGTGGCCTCTTAAAAAAAAAAATAATGCTCTGATTCTTATCAATGACAATGCAATCAATATATCAACTTTATAGCAAGCCAAGCAAACAATAGGAACTAACTTCACTAACTAAAATAGTTTTTTTCTCTTCTAAATTGAGTCAAAGATAGCTGAATTTAAAAACCATTGATTTGTCTTATTCTATGTATTTATTCCCAAACTGCAGTGAATTAAACTCAGTTGCAGTTCAGTTAACACTAATTATTCCTATATTTGATTCTGAAAATTAAATGTATAGATATTTTGGACCTACATCCCTATGTTAATTTTTAAAAACTTTTATTTTTTGACTTGATAAATTTTAATAGTAATAATATTACTGACTATAATTATTATTGAAACCTTACAGCATGTCAGGCACCATACTAAATGTTTATATATTGCTTTATTTAATCTTATTATAACAATTCAGTAAACACTGTTATCTCCTTTGTACAGATGAGGAGCCTGAGGCTAAGAGAAGTTTAGTTGACCAATGTCATATAAAACCTAGTAATTGCCATAACTAGAAATCAAGCCAAGACTTCCTACCACCCATACTATGCTGCTCTGACACTATACTGGAAGGATCTGGATCTAAATCCCCACTCATCATCATCTTGTGACCATGGGCAAGTTATGACAATTCTCTAAGCTTATTTTTTTTATCTATCATGAGTGTTAAACAAAATGATAGATGTAAAACGGCCAGATGAGTGCCAGCCACCCAATAAATGTTAGCTGCCCAATTCCACTTACACCCCAAATCTGCTAATATCTCTATGTTCTACAGGAAAACTTCTGTAGCAATGGCTTAACTCTAAAACATTTACTCTGTTTTCATTTCAGTTTTTAATTCACCATACAGGTGTACAAAAAATAAATACACCAAACAGAACTATATCTGGTATAAGTATCAAAAAATTGTATGGTATTTTACAGTAAAATATAAATTAATATTTATACTAAATCTCTTAACATTAAGTATTTTTGAGTTTCCAGACTTCAGACAGTGTTCTCTCTCACATAGACACACATACACACAAATAGACACAAATATTTTGCTACACTAATGCAAAAATTATAGTCCTATATAATACATATATTATTACATTTCTCAAGTTTGCATATTTAGTCATTGAATAAAACCATCATTTAAATAGAATACAACCACAGATATAGATATAAAGGACAAACTATATAGGTGAAATAAGTCTGAGAACTGTATTTAGGATTCAAGTATATAACTCGTTATAATTTCCAAAATTATACATACGAGTATTGTTGTAGTGTGATGGCAGCTTCTTAAATAAAACATGGAATATAAGAAGTGGGTAATAAGGGAAATATTTGGGAATTCTTTAAAATGCAAAGAAAATCCACTAACTTGGTATAGGTAGAAAGAATTATATCTTTTGCTTCTTTGATAAATCTGTAAAGTAGTACAAAGTCTTACATATTTCAGCACATACCTTCAAGCCAAGCATTGCTCCTGAATCTCGAGGTACACTCCCATCTTTCAGACGCTTATTTAATAAAATACGACCAATTAAACGATCTCCATCTTTAGATGGCTGCCATGTCACTGGGTGCTGACATTGCATCAAAAACAAAAAAATTAATGTTTTTATGACACATGACGCCTTGTTGTACAATCTCTCTAAATTTCAGATTTCCAAAGTATTATGATTACACAAACCAGTTTGCATTCAAAAAGGCTTACTACATTGTGCTTATAACCTCAATTTTATAATCTTAAGTTTTTTCAAAATCAAATTACTTCAAATTCTTACAGTGTTCTGACACAATACTGAAGTTATATAGCTCTACAAAAACTGAGAAATCTTGAAAATATATTCAAACCCTAATTTAATTATATACATGCTGAAGATTAATAAATTCACAGGTAGGAAAGATAAATTGAAATTCTATAAAATTAAACTCTCTTAAAAATGAAAGTTTAATCTTCAAACACTTTTGGAATACTTTGAGAGACCTTATTACAATAAAAGTTAAAAGGTCAAATTATATAAAACACAAAATTCAAACCTATAATGAGGGCTTTCTTGAAATAAGTTTCTAGATTAAATTTATAAGAAATATATAAGCCCCAATAATTTTCCAGTTGATTCTGGGAGAAATAGGCCTAATTCAAAGGTGTAGATTGATTATATTTCTCACTTTTTGGAGGTTCATTGATTCTTTCAGATCTTTGGTCTATTTAGTAAATTAATTTTATTAGATAATTCAATGGTATCCATTGCTAAACAACCTTGAAAATATTAAGAATTTATCTCTTAGGGCAGAACCAATCCCTTTATAAATCACACCGTTCCATTCCATTATGAATTATATGTCAAATAACACAGTAAATGATTTGTGTAATCACAGTTTCACAGTTATCTTAAAAGTAACATGCACATCTTCATGCAAAATTTAGCAGGCAAAAGACAAGTTCCAGTCAATCGCATCTACATGGTAATAAGATTTTAAAAGTCTCACTACACTAAAAGCAAAAATAATAAATACCAAAGCAGATGGCAATGGTTCTAATGCTAATTAATGCTACATTGAAAGGCTGACAATAAAAGAAAAGAGCAAAATGACAGTGAAAGGGAAAAAAGAAAAACAACTTTTTCTGTGCAAACAGACCCAATTATCTCCCTTTTGCCTGGGATTCAAACTATTAATAATTTTTCATCCCAAGGAAAATATATGCAAGCAATCAAATAAGCCAATCCAAGAAATTCTTTGTATTTGTAATTTATAATAACATTACCAAATTATCTCATGCGACCATAGACAAAATATTCCTTTGTTCCTAATTTTCATTTCGTTTACTTATTTTTTGGTATGCCGTCAAACAACAAAAACAGCAAAGCAAGCAAGAAGTATTTTGATTTGTTTGTTTTGGTTTTGTTTTTCTTTTCTGCACCTTAAAAAATGCTACATTGACCCCTGAAATGCCCTGTCCTTTTATTATGTTCTGTTTGAATGAGTGACAGAGAGCAAACGAAGACCAAATGAGCAGGTTAAAACGCAGGCTCCACAATCTCAGTACCTTATCACTATGGCTATGCTCCTCGTTAAGGGTTGTGCTACTACAGGTATCTACCCCAGAGTCCTTAATCTGAGGCTCAGACCATTCCAAATCCTCTTCCAAAGAGTGGCCACCAAAGTACATCATTTTCTTTTGTCTCTCAGACCTGGTGTTAGAGTCCGACAAAACTGCCTGCTCACTAGTTTTTCTTTTTCCCTTTTGACTGTCCCCTACAGGTGTGGGATAAAAAAAAAAAGATACAAAAAAGAAAACATGCAAAGGTGTAAATAAAAAAGTAAAAGTAAAATGATAACAGAAATTAAACAGTAAGGCTCCACATGTCTCACCAAAGACATTGGGGATGCCTCACTGCTATGCCAAGACGTATGGTCCAACCAGTTGTAATCCATGTCTCCTGTGAGAGTCAGACAGACAAAAGAGTGCAGTAAAGGAGACGGCGAAAGAAAGGACAGACATTACAAACATTTTAAACTGTGTGATACTGTCTGGTTTCAAGAACCCTGTAGTACTCACTACACATACCAAGAGAAAGCTGGGGTTCCAAATGAGTAAAATTTATAGAATGCAGAATATAAAGTTTATGATCTCTAGACAGACCCTACAGAACGAAAGTCCTGAAAGAAGAGAAAAGGCTAATAATAAACAGGAACCAAAATGAAAAAAATTACATATTCTGTAAAGGAAAGGCTATCGGTTATGTCTGTTGCTCATGCTATATTTTCCATGCTGGTCTACAGACATGAATTATTCTCTAAAGAGTAAAGAACGTTTTAAAAGTTAAACAGTGGCTTGCCAATAACCACTGTAACAAAAAGCCAAGCAATTAAATGTTGTTCCTGGAATGTTGTACAATATTCTTTTTAATGCTGAAACCTAAAAATATTTGATGGATAAAAAATATAATTGGTTACACAAAAGAATAATTTTGTATGAAAGTGACAAAAGAGATCCACTCAATTGCGATTAGTAAAAATAAAATAAACTTTACTTATATCACAAATTATTATTTTGAAACAATTTTTCAACTTTTTTTCAGAAATTGCACTCTCATAAAGTAAATTTTCTTTTAAGATAACTTTGTCAGATAATTTGTACAACTGGCAACCAAGAATGAATATCTACTTCCCATATGTATATGCTCCTTATTTGCCTTACACTTGAAAAAGAATTTATTTTTAGTCTGTATGTGCACATACATGTTTTTAAACTCTATTCATACTTTCATTTATTTAAAAGTACTTACTAAACCCCTTCCATTTGCTCTAGTGAATGGGGTAAAACAATGAGATATACAACAGAGTGGAGATAAACACAATAAATAAGTCCTCAGTGTCATATAGGAAATTACGAAACACTGAGAGTATATAATAAGACCTAATTTAAATTTCAGGGTCAGCAAACACCTCTAAAGAAGTGATGTTTAAAGATGAGAACTGAAATGTGTGGCCTGAAGGACAAGTAAGGAGACAGGCAGACGGGAAGTGGAGGAAAGCATTCCAGGAAGAAGTACATAGTAGAACACTAGTGTGTCTGAACCAAAAGGAATGAGGGCAAATACGATGCTACAGGAGACTGGTGAGGCAGCACCAAGCAGCTTAGGGAGGCCTTTTTATGCCATGTTAAAGACTATGAATTTCATTCCTTGAAGGACTTTAAGATGATGACATAGACTGATTTACATTCTTAAAAGATCAATCTAAGCACTAAATAGAGATTGAATTGGAAGACACCAAGCGTTGGAAGGCATTTGCAACAATCCATGGGCCAGGTGGTGAGGGCTTTAACAAAGGGGATGGCAGTAGACATGGTATGAAAAGAGGGAACTAAGAGGTGTTTTGGAGGTATAATTAAATATTAAGAAAGATTCGAGAATCTTGGCAACAAATGAATGTAAGGAAAGACCATTTACGAGAGAAAAGACTGGAGGAAGAGCACTGTATTAGTTCCTGAAGGAGCAGGAAGGAATGACTGTTTCATAAAATCTAAGATGTTATTGTATATAAGATTCAGAGATATTAAAAATAAAAGCATGCATCTTAGAATTTACTAAGCATAGTGATTAATGTTGGATATATTGTTTGCAATACCCATAAGTTATTCAAGTGGGCATATAAGAAATCAATTCGTTAAGCTATGCTAAAGCTTCAAAGGAAGGTCTGAGCTGGAGACATAAATTTGGAATTACTACCACACAGACAGGAATAAGTAGATCACTTAGGAACAGAGAATAAAGTAAGATATGAAGAGGACCCAGACTGAATTTTAACATTTGAAGTTTGATTTGAGAAGAAAGAAAAAAGAAAAAGAAGAGAGAGACAGAGACAGAGGCACTAAGAGAAAACATTCTGAGAAAAAATAGGAGGGAGGGAGATGGAAGTCTCAAAACCAAACAGAAGAGTCTCCTAAACAGGAGGAGAAATTAACTATACTGAATGATTTCTACATATCGGGTACAATAGAGAACTGAAAGGTGTGTATTTCATATGGCAACTTGAAGATCAAGAAAATGTTAGAAAAAGCACTCTGGGTAGAATGATGAAAATTAAAATTAAATTGAAGTAATCGAAGAGTCAGAGAGAGACACGTAGGGGAAAATGTGTATAGGTGAATGGTTCACAAAGTGAAATCCCCAAAACAACATAATCAACATCACCTGAGGCTTATGAGAAATGCAAATTCTTGGGCACCATCCAACGCTTAGTCAGAAATTCTGCAAATGGGGCCTAGCAATCTGCGTTTTACCAAGCCCACCAGGTGATCATGATCTCACTGATGTTTGAGAACCACTGGAGACAATGACTTTAAAAATTTTATCTATGAGGGATAACAGAGTTGAGCTAACATACACTAAATTCAATGTGTAGGGAAAACATTTCTTTAACCTGTGAACTAGAGAGTGCTTTCCAACGTTCTTTGCGTGTAGCACCTTACACAAGCACCAAAGGGGTCTACATAGCAAATCTTCCTAAAATTAGCCCTTGTCTTCTATCAGTTCCCACTATGTGCCACCCCTGGAAGCACAGAGTCATTTTTTCCCTTGCCTTGTTCTCTCTAAAAATGTATTGTTCTTTTGTTATATAAGCCCAAATTCTAACCACCCCTTTGAGTTTCTCATAGCTAAGTGCTCCCATATATGTATGTGCAATGCACATGATAATAAATTTGTCTTTCTCTTGTTAATCTGTCTTTTGTCAGTCTAATTTATAGGGCCCCAGCCAATGAAACTAAGATGCATAGAAGGAAAAAAGAGTTGTTTTTCCTCCTCTGCACCTTTCAGTATAATTTTAGAAATAGGATACTTCAATGAACCAATAAAGATTATGACTAAAATGTTATTAACCCCAAAAGATGACTGGAAAGGAACATGCATCTTTATGGTATTTGGCCTTCCCAATTAGGAACATGAAGTGAATCTCTACTCAAGCCTTCTTTCATGTGAGGCAGTTAAGTTTTGTAGCTTTCTTCATATAGGACCCCTCATTTCTTACTTATTTTTAAATCACATTTTCTGTTTTTAGTTCAGAATGGAAACTGCCTTTCACTTATATTTTTAAAACTAATTATTTTTCATAAAAATATAAAATGACTCTATATACATTCCACATCCAGCTGCCTTCTTGAGTTCCTTTATTGATTTTTGTTCATTCTTATCAACAAGAAATCAATTGCTCCTCAAAGAGTATCAGAGAGTTGTGTGTGTGGAGATGGGGAGGGTGGTACAAGGGATTCGAAGTAGATACTCACCTATCTAGGGTATTTTGGCATACACCAAAATAAATTTCAGAAAGATTACGAAGTTAAAAGTTAAAAAATCAATAATAAAATCGTGAGAAAATAGAGTTAAATATTTAACTAATTTGGGGGTGAATAAGGTTTTCTGGGGAGTAAAAGGAATAGAAAAAAAAGTCACCAAAGAATGCAAAGATTTAACTATATTAATTTCAATTATTTCCAAATGATCAAAGAAAAGTAGTAGGTAAACATCAAAATGTGAAATACATCTGGAACAGATGATAGTTAAATGGGTAAAATCCTAACCACATAAAAAGCTCTAATAAATCAATTAAGACAAAAACTAATTAATACCCAATAGGAACATGGGCAGAAGAAATAAATGGAATGAACAGATAATTCATGAAAGATATAAAACATCAATTTACATACAAAATATTCAACTGCACAATCAAATTCAAAATTAAAATGACAAAGAGATAGCATCGTTTGTGGTCCATTCAGCTGGCCAAGATTTGGTACATACACCCGGAGCCCAGGCCTGCTGGCTTGATGAAAGCATGTGACAGGAGTATGGAGAGTTATAACCTTTCTGGAAAGCGAGATGGTAATCTGAATGAAAAGCTTTAAAAAAATCAAAGCACAAATATGTGTTTGTGAAATACTAAGAGATACAGAAAAAATTTTTGCATAAAGATGACCATTATAATATCATTTATAATAACAATCGGAAGCAACTGCAAGGCCCCCAAACAAAGGAACAGTTTGTGGTAATCCTTAGAGTATTAGTGTGGACATTTGAAACATATTTCTGAAGAATATCTAATAGCTTGAGGAAAGCTAAGGATACAATGATATCAAATGAAAACGATCATAACATGTGCATAGGAAAAAGGAAAGAAATACAACAAAATGTTAATAGTGGTTATATTTGGGGGACAGGGTTGTGGGTAGCTTGTATTTCATTCTTTACACTTTGAGGAATTTTCCAGATGTCCTACAGTAAACATATTGTTACTTTTAAAAGGAAACACAAAAAAAGTTATTTAGCTAACAGGATTTTTTAAAATATGAAATCCAGCGGTAGAAGAAAATTTTCAGAAACAAAGAAAAAAACAATTTTAAAAATCAACAGATTTATAGACTTATAGAGGATGTTCACATTTTATAACTTGAAATTTCCTTCACATGCCCAACACCATTGAAACACTTTTAAAATAAAGGCAGCAGCCCAGCCCGCATGGCTCAGCGGTTGAGCATCCACCTGGGACCCAGAAGATGTTGGTTCGATTCCCGGTCAGGGCACAGGCCCGGGTTGCGGGCTCGATCCCCAGTCGGGGGCGTGCAGGAGGCAGCCGATCAATGGCTCTCATCACTGATGTTTCTCTCTCCCTCCCTCCCTTCCTCTCTCTTCTCAATAAAGATATATTTACAAAATAAAATAAAGACAGTAATATCTAACTTTTCAATGTTTACTCGAAGTACAACGTGAAACAAAACCCTCTCCAACCACCGCAGGGAACCGTGACGGGAACCGAGCGGCTTCCTCGGGAGCCGAGCGGCGGGAACCGTGACGGGAACCGCGCGGGGAACCGCGCCGCTTACCTTTCTCGCTCACGCTCTCGCTCTCAATCTCCACATCGTCACAACTCGTGTACTCAGGCGTGGACGCTAGTTCCTCCTCGGAACTGCTCAAGGACACCTGGCGCATTTTACCTCCTTTCTTGGATTTGTGAGGCTTCGGAGGCGGAGGTCGCACTGACTCCGACTGGTCGGAGCTGAGGGAGTCGTTCCTGAGCATCGTTTCCATCTTCTCCCGCTTGGTCTTCCTCACGGCAGAGCTGGGGTCGAGGTGGTGCTGCCGCCGCAGGGAGTCGGCGCGCCGCGGCTCCGGCCTGTCCGCGGGAATCGGGCTCCTGCGCGGGGTGGGGGGGCTGTGGTTCGTGGTCCTTGGTGGGTAGGCACTGGGTCCCTGAGCCTCTCGAGTTCTTTCCATGGAGTACGACCGCTGGCTGTCCATGGCGGCTCTCCGGTCGGACACCGATCTCTGCCGCGCCGGCCGCTCCAGCCTCAGCACGGAGATCCTGGAATCCTCCAGCTCCGCGTTGGCCAAGGAGACGTCGCTGTGCCGCCGCTCGTGCCGCGCCCGGGACACCTCCGCGTGGATGCGCATCTGCTCCTCGTAGGGCTGCGGCTTCACGGGGTAGCGGGCCAGGTTCGGGTCGCTCCGGTAGCGCGCCTGGTACTCCTCCTCCCTCCTCTGCCTCTCGTACTCCTCCCTGCCTTCCGCGTCCTCGTCGTCCAGGGCGTAGTCGTCGGGGTGCCTGTGACTTCTCCAGCCCGCGTCCCTGTAGTTCACATGAGCCGGGTCCCCGTAGAGCTGCGGCTCGCGCGGAGCCCGCGGGTCCGCGAAGTCGGACGGAGAGCGCGGCATGGCGCTCCCGGCGGGGGCATACTGCGCGTGCGCCT